CAATGACGACGATCGTGATGATGACGATGATGACGTGGCACGGCAACGACGACCTCGACGATGATGTTGATGATGGCCGGTGACGTCGTCCAAGTAGGGTGGGTCGGGCGGGTTCGAACCGCTCCGTTACCAGTGTAACGAGCGTGAGGCTGAGGGTGAGCCGAGGGAGAGGAGAGAGAGGGGGAGAGTGAGAGCACACACACACACTCACTCACTCGACACGACGGACTCGGACTGAGGATCGGACGCAGACACAGTGGCAAGGCACAAAGTCGGAGTCTTGGATTCCCGAATGCCGAAAACAGCAAGTCACACTTAGTACGAGTACAGCAGCAGAGAACTGGTACGAGACTGGTGCCCGTACCGTACGGGGAGCCGGTATAAGTACCGGTGACACGTACGGTGCTAGGGGCATTTCTGCAAAGGCCCCCGAGGGCAGAACAAAAAAAATGCAGTATTTGAAAGTGGCGCCCGMATTGCAGCATGGCGCCAGTTGTCCAAAATCCTACGGTACCAAAGGAGGGGTTCGGAAAAAGGGTGCCAGGCCGAAAACGGGATGCAGCTGAAACAGCAAAAAGATAGACCAGGGATCGAGCCCTGGCGAAGTCCGTAACAAAAGCCAAGTGTCTGAAAAAGGTGGCCGCAGCCACGCAGGTCGGGCGGCAAAAAGGGGCTGTGCGGCCTGCGGGGCCAGGAAAAATAGAGGACGGCCCCTAGGCCCGTGTAGCAGCCGCAAGGATGCTACACTCTCTCTCGCTCAGTTCGCGTCAAGATACAATCCGAGAGAGGGAGGGAGAGAGCAGAAGGTTGGACCAAGTTTGCACGGGGCTGGCACAGCATGACAGAGTGCTAGCACATTAGGGCATGATGATGACAGGGCATCAAGAAACATTGCAACGCGACAGACTATGTATTGCACACGCATCAAGAAACATTGCAACGCGACAGACTATGTATTGCACACCAAATAAAAGTTATAAGACCCCTATGAGTAGGTTTTAGATGTTGTACATTCACCGTGCGTGCCTGGACCAGCTTTTGGCTGCAGATACAAGTTGAGACCAGACCAGTGGGAAAAGGCCATCAGTTGAAAATCCAGCCACGTTTTCCACTGCAAGCCCTTAGGCCTATGCTTGGCGGCCTTTTCGTACAAATAGTGATTGGATTGGCTGGGAATTGTGACCATCGGATGGTCTCACAAACACAAAGCCAGCTTTTTCCATAATCATACTGGGCGGTTGTGTACAGTGGTCAGATCACTTACGTAATAGCCACATGTGCATGACCAACTGCTTTTGTACCACAGACTCGTACTGAGTTAGTAGGTAGATGCAATGACTTGCTGTTTTCTGGTCGCCTGTAGCCTCTCTCTGTCGAGGCTGTACTATAGGTAGGACAGATTCACAATTTTGTTTGGCTGAGGGCTAACCGAGAGACCTACCTGTGAGGGAAATTAGTGAGGGACATATCTGCAAATTCGGAAAATATGCAGGCCCGGTACAAACCGAATTCCCTACAGCTACCCTAACTGCGAATAGCAGGCCCGGACTACCCCTAGGACAGACGGGCCCTAAGGGCCTATTCTGATAGACCGTCCTATAGCCTATAGCCGGGTCCGGTAGAGGCCGAGGGGCCGAAACAGAAACGGTACCGGTCGGTCAGTCAGTCCGGTCTAGGTCGACTCTAGACTAGTGTAGGATATAGAGAGGATGGGCACATCGGTTCAGGGCTTTTGGCAGTTGGTACCGAGTACATCGCTGCTACACTACGCGTGAACCGGAAGTGGTGACGGCTCAGCGTGGAAGGAGACAGGCATAGCCAGACCTTCAGAGCGCCGGCCATAGCTGGGACCTGCGCTGTACTCTGCCAGCACGCAGGGGCTGACAGAGGTCTGGGCTATCGAGGTCTGCTGGAGGCGAGAGAGATTGGTGCCCTGCTGGACCCTCCTCCGGAGTGGGGTTCCAGGGTGTTGGCGCTGCAGCTTTCTTCCTCAGAGGTCATCTTGTCAGGGTTTGGTGGCTGCTGCAGACTTCCACCCGGGAAGTCTTCCGACACTTCGTCATCAGGGTGGCGCATGATGTTTCAGGGGCTCAGGGGTGTTACGGGTGTTATTCACGGTTGGGGAGTGAAGCGCTGCTAATTTCTGAGCAGCGCACTGTGGTACTGAAGTTATCCTGACAATTTGAGACTCTGAGTTTAATAAACAGTGTGTAACTGGGTTTGGACTATCATCGTTTCATTGTTTCCTGGATGTGATCTGCTCGGCTTTTCTCTATGACTGGTTGTGAGGATTGAGTGGAGTGTATTGCACTTCCAGTGTACCCCTGTCATATCGCATGGTCAAGTCTTCCGCTGTGTTATCTCTCCCTGTGCGGTGTGATACTCCTATCCTCTCCCCTTCCTTCTGTGTAGGTATGGGCATGCAGGGAAGTCTATGCGAGTGAGTGTTGGTCTTCAGACAGCAAACAACCAGAATCATAACATAGATGTGCACGAGTAGGTATGGCCTTAACTAGGTTAATAGCCACATGAGAACATCAGCAATGTCTGTACTTTGTTGCTGTGCGCTTGGCCATGTGCCGAATGTACATCTCCAGGCTTGTGCTGCTGCATGACCAGCTACGCTTGGACCAAGTTAATAGCCATGTGTGCTTAGTCAGATGTTTAATAGCTATGTATGCATGTGCTACCGTCTTCTCCCGAACACAACGCACCCTTGTCTTGGCTGTACCGGAACGGAAATATAGCTTGTATACGTTCATTTTCAGGGTGCGTTATGTTCGGGGGAAGATGGTAGCTGTGTTTCTATTACTGAGTTCATAGCCACATGACCATGACCAGATATGTTTGTTCTGTGTTGATGAGCATTCAGACACATGAGCATGAGCATGGCCTGAGTCAGGTTGACTGGCAATCTGCACAGGGCCACTGTGACCTCTCCTCATGTGAACTCAAAATAAAGGACTAGTTCGCCGAGCAAGAGGATTTGAACCTGTGACCTGCAACTTAAGAGTTCCTTCCAAAATAATCAGGTCCGATCACATCCATTCCGGACTGACACAGTCCATCCCTTTACAAGGCGAGCAGGCATGCCCAGACAGCTCAATGAAAAAATGCAACACCGCAGGTGGAAGGCCAAGAAAACATGCCAGTATGAAAAAACTGCAGATGTCATGTTCAGCAAGACGGATCTGTATTGGGCCTTTCTCCACTGCACAACATTCTAGACGTATGTGAAGCTGTTAATGGTCCAAATACAATCAAAACGTTAGATCAGTCGAAAATCCACTATGTGGTACGAATCGCTGTCCACATAGATGTTGAATGAGAGCAGTGGAATGAGACGCATTGTGGCCCGCATCCAGATATATGTCAAGGTCCATCCTGGCCCGTGAATGACAACCATTTCCCCATTACAAACGACAAAGCACATAACAGAAGCACAAAGACCGCATGCAAATACAAGCAAGGTACAACAACAACCCCTTGCCACATTTTTTTGGGTGACACATTAAACACAGGAAGGTGTTCCTTAGAGGCATCATGCTCTCACCTCCCTCCCTTGCAGCGCAACTCCAAACGAAGTCAAATTGTCCGTTCCATAGAAGGGGACACCCACAATAACCAGGTAGTATTGTCGATCAACTGCCGGAATAACATACTTCCCTCCTCCAGGGAACTGCCTGTAGGTTCTCCTCTCTTGATATGAATATGGTGAAGCACTAGATGGAGCAGGTTGGCTGTTACCACCCACATAATAGTTGTCTTCCTCCCAAGACAGACCCTTACCATCTTCAAATGCCAGACCACCACAGTTGAGACGAGTCGGCGACACCTCCCCTGCAAACCCATATGGATTCTGGAATCAGCGTTTGAGAGCAAAAAGGGCAGAAAAGAAAGGAAAAGGGTGCGTGGCATGTCAGGGCCGTGGCTATCCAACGCTACCGTCTTCCCCCAAACACAGTGAATACGCACTGTATTCGAGTTTTCAAAATATTCACAAATTCAAAAAGAATGCACATGCGTTGTATTCGAAAATCGGGGCTGTTCGAATAGAACACATATGCATTGTATTTAAATAGAACGCAACCTATGCATTACACACGTTTACCCCCAAACATGACACATATGCGTTGCATTCGACTTTTCAAAATATTCAAAACATTGAATAGAATGCATGTGCGTTGTATTAAAAAATTGGGGCTGTTCGAATAGAAAGCACATGCATTGTATTCGAGTAGAAAGCAACCTATCCGTTATATTCATTTACAACGCATATGCCTTGTGTTCGGGGGAAGACGGTAGGGAACTGCACAGGTTTCTGGGTGGCCAAGGCCGCACCTTGGTCGTTGGTCCTCGTTTTCGGTCTAGAGGCAGTTCAGACTTTACATCACTAATCTTTTTTTTTTTAACTTTTTTCTTACCAATGGTCTTACATTTCTATTGCTGGGCCCTAAGGTTATATGGTAGGTAGGTAGTGAAAGGTCAAAAAAGAATATGAGACTGAGAGAAGAATATAGCACAGTTTTGTTTTTTGTTTTTTGTTTTTTTTTTTGTTTTTTTTGGGGGGAGGGGTGTGAACCTATTGCTGGACCCGCTTTCCAGCATAAGCGAAAGCCAGATAAGGGCCCCGGTATCATCCATTGTATCCTACAGTTCATAATCAAAGCCTTGGGCATAGGGCCCCGTTTTTTTCTGTTTTTCTTTTTTGCAATCAGACTCGCTTTCTTCTTCGCTTCGCATACATGCAAACAGATGGCGATTCAAACTGGCGCATAACGCCCACTCAAAACTCAGAGATATGGAAATCGAGAACTCAGTTCAGATGCAAACTTGCTTCCACAGGCTATGGCGCATAAGCACCTGCTCATCCAACCCTCGATACTGTTTCCAACACCACTGTTCACACCCACTCAACTCTGGATCACCCTGAATACCCCACACACGCTTACTGCATCACAAACTTACACCCGAACACCTCTCTCCTGTCTACAGCGGCTATGGCCGCTCAACTGCTACTAACTATAGCTACACTATCCTCTTCCAGCCCTCTTCGACTTCGGGCGCTCTGCAGACCACCTCGCACAAGACGCTGGAGCAGCGCTTCCACATGGCTTACGCAGCGAATGAATCAATCGCTGGACGGTGCCTCTTGATTTATACTTCTGTTGGTCGCCGGTCTGCCGCTTTCCTCCAGGCCCTCGGTGCACACAGTCCCACACGGTACTTGCTTGACTGGAACGGTATCGCTGACTGCATGGCGTTGCACTCCCGACTTGATGCAGTCGCACTGCCTACTCGACGCAGCTGGACCTACGACTTACCTACGGACCTCTAGCCTAGCAGTTTTGACCTCTACACATCTGTAACCCCTACTTGACAGATCTACGGATCGAACCCCTCCAACTACAGGGACCTATGACAAGGTACAGTCACTACTAAAACACAGGTCGCGGGTTCAAAACACACAGGGGTCTACTCAATACTGTACACGGGTGCAGGTAAGGTGAAAACCGTTTCACTCCCAATGGCCTAAATTCGAGGTCCTATGATAATACTTCAGTCCAAGGCCGGACCTTTACCCTTCTTATCTTTCTCATAGGCTCGGACTATATCGGGAGCTGTCTCCAGAAGTTCTGCTCTGGTGAACCAGCGGTCGTCTTCAGGTTCTTGATAAGAGAATCTGACTTTGTACTGTTTCTGTGGACGACCTCTACCTCCTGTTCTGAAGACATCCTCACCTACTATGCCATCAATGTCGTCCATTTCTGGAGGAATCATGGACCTTCATGATGGAAACTGTTGACTCATTGTACAAGGTAACAACTTTGATGCATGGAAAACTGGGTAGGTGTGGAGGTGTGCTGGAATCTCTATCGTGTAGGATGGTCCATCCTCTCCACCCTTGACTTCTAGGACCGGCCACGGTCCTTTATAAGCAGGTAGCAGCTTTTGCGAGATGTTCTCCTCAGGAGCAAACTCTTTTGACTTGACCCAGACTAGGTCGCCGACTTGGAACTGTGAAGGGCGACGGTGTTTGTTGGCTTGTTCTATCATTATGTGCTTGGCTTTCCTGAGGTTCTCAACTACTGTAGCTATCTCTTTCTCGTGCTGTATCGCAAACTCCCTGGTACCGGGCGGTAACCTCTGAATCTGATCCCGGTTAAGTCCTTCAAACGGTCTGCGTGGTTTAAAAGACTTATGTAGCTCATTGGGAGTGCAACAAGTGGCTAAGTGCACGCTATTATTGTAGGCACTGGCTACTTTTGGGAGCATCTCATCCCAGTCCAGTTGATCGGGCCTAATGTACATCCTTAAAAATTGCTGAAGGACTTTATTCATCTGTTCGGTCTGTCCATTTGTCTCTGGATGACGGCCAGACGACATTAACAACTTTGATCCGTAGACTTTCATTAATTCCTGCCAATTCTGATTAGTGAACCGGGTGTCTTTGTCACTTACTATGGACAACGGTAGCCCATGTTCACTGACCCAATGGTCGAAAAAATTCCGGATCACTACATCTACGCATGCCTCAGAAGTCAAAGGAACGAAAATGGCATAATGCTAAACCTGTCTACTATGACCATGACTTGACTCTTGCCATGTCAACTTTCGACGCCAGCGTCCATGAAATCTATAGACACTGAATCTCCGGGCCCTTCGGGGATAGGCATTAGTCTGAGAAGACCTAGAGGGGCTCGTGTAGTAGTCTTGTTCCTTTGACATACTTTGCAACTGCGCACGTATTCTATGCAGTCGGCCTTCATACCAGGCCAGGTGTACGCACACATGAGGTTGGCTAATGTCATCTGCCAACCGAAATGTCCCTCTGTATCATGGCATTCCCCTGAGATCAAGCTTCAGATCTCTTCACTATTGGGAATGCATAGGCGGTCAATAACATTATTATTCTCAAATAACAAGCCATCTGTAGTGCGGTAATCTGGTTCTAATTTTGGTGCCTCCTTAACTCTCTTGAGGAGGTCGCTATAGATAGGGTCCTGCGCATATGCTTCTTGGACTCTCTGCTGCAGGTCTCTCCCTATATCCAGATAGTGCACTATCACTCCAAAGTACTCTGATCTCCTACTCAGAGCGTTCGCAACTACATTGCATTTCCCTTTGACTGGCTTGAGACCAAAATCATATTGGTCTATCTCTGCGACCCACCTAGTTAGCTTTGGTGTCATCTTGTCCTGCGTTTTCAGCCACCTTAGTGTCTTGTGGTCTGAATATACTTTAAAGTGTCTTCCAAGCAAGTAGTGCTTCCATTGTTTTAATGCTTGCCTGAGAGCATAGAGTTTCGTCTCGTACGTCGATGTCGCTACCTTTTCTGAAGGCATTCTAGCAGACATGAACTCTACAGGTCTATATCCATTACCATCGTCTTGCTGTAGAACAGCACCTATACCAAATTGGCTTGCGTCTGTTGTGACAATGAATGGCAATGATGGATCGGCTACCTTAAGGACAGGGTACTCTATTAAGGACCGCTTTAACTTCTTCAGGGCCACTGTGCAATCTTTATCCCACTTCCAGATTGTCTTTTTCTTTAGCAACCTACGAAGGGGAGCAGCAATGGTGGAGAAGTTCCTAACCCCAAAAACGACCACAACTCTGTCAACGTGCCGTGCGTCGGTCAATCTCTCATCGCTGCTATCTTGTTGTCCTCAGGCTTTATGCCATCTCCATCTAGGACGTGGCCTAGGTATAGAACTTGTGTCTTGGCCCACTCACACTTCTTCGCATTGATCTCGAACTTAACTTCTCTCAACTTCTCCAAGACCTGCCTTAGATGGCCCTCATGCTCTTACTAAATACTAGGATGTCATATACAACTACAAATCTATCTAACCACGACCTAAACAAGTCATTCATACAGCGCTGAAAAGTAGCTGGCGCGTTGGTTAGTCCAAAGGGCATCACTATAAACTCATAGTGCCTGTATCTGGTCCTGAACGACATCTTGTGCTGATCATCAGGATGAACCTCTACATGATGATAGCCTCACTTCAAATCTATCTTAGAGAAGTATCTGGAGCCCTGCACTCGATCCAACAAATCATCTATTTGAGGCAGTGGTTCTGCGTTCTTCACTGTGATGGCGTTGAGACGCCTATAGTCTATACATATTCTCAACTCTCCCTCCTTTTTGGGGACAAACAGAGCAGGCGCTCCAAACGGAGACGATCTGGGTCTAACCCAACCCTTCTCGAGGAACTCGTCTAACTGCTTTCGCAGCTCCTCTAACTCCCTTGGGGACATTCTATACACCGCTCATTTGGGAGTTCTACTGCCAGGTTCTATCTCGATTCGGTCGTTGTACTACTCCTGTAGGCGGCTCAGACAGGTCTGCATACTCCTCCAACAACTTGGCAATATGAGGGTATATGGGCTCTACGGACTTAGGCTCAGTGATTGACCTAATATAGGCAACGAAAACCTGTTCTTCTAGCTTCTCCTTCTTCGCTAACCTTGCGAATGCGGGAGCGCTGAGGCAGCAATGTGCTAAAGGGTTCTCTACCCCCGACACATGAAACAGGCGGGCAGTCTTGACTAAACCTTAAGGGCTAGGGAGCCTACACTCATGCTCTCTCAAATAAAGTGTGGCCCCTGCTGCCTCTCCCCAATCCATTCCTAGGACTATATCAAACGCGAGGTGGTCTTCTACGAGGAGAGTCAGGGAATGGAGAACTCTTTTTACCTTCCCATCTTTCTCTAGGCGAAAATAAGCCTGGACTCCCTCGACGTAATCCTCGACTCGCATTGTGCGATTGTCTGCGAGGATGCTGACTATCGGTTCCTCTAACTTTCGGACCTTCAGATTCAACTTCAGC